CTCCCCCCCCCCAAAAAAAAATAAACCTGATGGGTGGATCAAGCCTCTACAGGTTCTTGGATTACAACAAGGGGTGTGTGCATTTTATCAAGGGCGGCTTTTGTTTTCTCTAGCACCCCAAAGAAGATGGACCCCCCTATTCCAATCCATAGTACTCGGGGCCCAATCCCCTTCATGAAGGCATGGGGTCCCTCTTCTCTCCACACGGTCGCGATACAGTCTGCTACTCCTCGGTACTGCGAGGACGTTCCTTGGACCATGAGCCTGGTCTTAATCACGTCCAGGGGGGTCGTGATGGCCCCAGTCAGAGCCCCCGACACGGCACCGATCACCGCCATCTCCTCGTCGCGCAGTTCTCTCCTTGCCAGACTCTTTAACCCTAACTTCAGCTGCTCGTACATACAGAACTGCATTGCATCGAATGGCAGATCTCTTAGGAGGAACGAGCCAAATCCCGCATACAGCCCTTTGAACCCCTCTTTTGCAAGAATACCCTTGACAGCGCCCGTGGCAGAAGCGAACTGTCCCGTTTGCATGCGCTGCTTAACGACTTCAGTCGGGACCCGGACCAGTGACGCGGCGGCACCGCCGAGTGCCCCGGCCGTCAGATGAGCAGCGGAGGACAGATGTGGCGGGAAAACTTCCAGAAGCTTCTGCTTCGCCGGCTCGTACACCCCCACAAATAGCGCCGACGCGGGAATCACCCCAATCAAGTTTCCCGCCCATCCAGAATACAAGCCCTTGAAAACGATGCCCCCCCCTGACCTGGCAGCTTGCAGCCTCGTCTTGATCGTATCGATGGGGTAAAGCAAGGTCTCGACGCTGACACCCGCGGTACCTCCAGCTATGGCGCCAACAAGGACCGTTCGCCACGTGACACCTTCCCCTTCCTGCTGCTCCTCCCTCTGCTTCTTCTTCTTCTTCTTTGCCGCTTGATCTGCAAACGAGGAGGAGGAAGAGGAGGAGGAGACAGAAGACGACGTATTGACGAATTGAATCAGGCCGCTGCCGTTCCTGCCCCTCTCTTGTTGCCAGCGATGTCGGCGTCGCGACGATGATGGTGGCAGAGAATCCACCACCACCTCCTCCTCTTCCTCTTCCTCCTTCCGCCTCCCCTCAGCTCTCCAGAAGAAACCTCCTCCTCTCGCCTGTGTTGGATGACTAGAGGCTCCATCTCCATCGCGGTTCCTTGCCGCGCAATTCACCATCAACCCGCTTCTTGCTAACCACCCCATCAAGCCCTGATGCCCGCCGCCATCGCTGCTGCTGCTGCAGCTCAGCTTCGTCTTCGTCTTCGTCTTATCCCCGCTCACCCTCGAGCAGCCATCGCCAGTTAGCATCGACAAGCTTGCTAGACCGCCAAACCTGCAGAACTGGCACCGGGGGGACGGACGACCCTCCTCCCCCCCCGCACCCATTTTCGGCGCCAGACCCGACCTCTGCTCTCTCCGACTGGCATCATAATATGCCGGTTGGGATCCGGACATGCTTGCCTCGTCGGTACCTCGATAGTGGCACCCCGATGGCTGCTGTTGCTGCTGCTGCTGCTCGCTCGTCGATGCCGAGAAGAAGAGACCCCGGCCCTCTTCACCAATCAATCGGCGATGGCGGCGACCGCCGGTGATGGTATCGTCGGTGACACGTGGCGAGAGATCCCCAGCCCTCCTCCCCTTGCATGTCGACGCCAAGTCTCCCACGTGTTTCGACGATGATGGAGGACACCATACTGTGATCCTCGATGGGCGCAGTTCCGTCGCGATTTGAAAATGCCGATCCCGATCCCGGCGGCCTGGGGAGCATACAAGGGCAAAATCCATAATAAGAATATCCAATTCCAAGCCACAGCAGCTATCAAAAAACACAAAAAATCATACACCCGCCGAGCTATCAGAGCGTCAAACGGAAACCGCCCAATCAACGATCCTTTTTGTTTTCGTGACTGTTCATACATAGTGGTAGCGGAGACGTTAGGTGTAGAAGACGAAATTTTCTTTTAAAAAATATATATTGGCCTCCTTTTGGCATTGTAGATGTGGTACGTGGGAAGGGACAGCTATTACAGCGGACACCCCTTTCGAGCCTGGCCGGTGATGCCGTCCTCGACTCGATTGGGGGCCCCGCCCGCCTTTCGTAAGGGGCTCCGGGCCCCGGGCTTGTACAATAAAATAATAAGGGGAAATAAAGGCAATATTGTTGAAATACCCCAAAGAGTTCGGGTATTTGTCAGATACCCGTAAAACACAAGGGTACGCTGAATTACCCCAAACTTCTGCATCTGCCCCAGTCCCGCTCATTGGCAACTTCGCCATGTTCTTTTGCCACCTGCAGGGTCCAACGGCCAGAAATACCGGGGCGTATAGACAAGTTGGCCAGGCGCCCGTAGGGGTATATGCCAAGGATGACAGGTCCAATTGGTGAGTGGGTATTTTGCAAAGTTTCACAACTGTCATAGGGCCATTTCACCATACTCATGCCTTTTAGGGTTATCTGACGAAATACCCCAACTTTCAGGGGCGTTTCAACAATTTTCCCTGAAGAATCCGCCGCCCCCTGCCCCCCTGCCCCCCCCCCCACCCCCGAAAAAAGAAAGAAGAAGAAGAAATTGTCAGCGGCCTTTCGGCGCTGAGGGGATTTGGAATATGGTTTTCAACCAGCCATAGACGCGTGTGGAGAGAGAACAAAAACAAAAAAAACGAAAAAAAAAAAAGAGCAAACTACGCAGGAGTCGCAAAGAGTTTCAAATTGCACTTTGCGCAATGCATACAAGCTAGCTTTCCGCTCAGGTAGGGTTGTGTGTGGGGGTGTTGTGTTGGGGGGAATGGTCAGGCAGGTTTGCCGTGGGGTTGCGTTGTGTTAGGGTTTCCGTGGGGGTACGTTGTGTTAGGGTTTCCGTCGGGTGCGTTGTGTTAGGGTTGCCGTGGGGTTGCATTGTGTTAAGGTTGCCGTGGGGGTGCGTTGTGTTCAGGGGAATGCCCGAAGTGTAATTTGAAACTGTTTTTGTGACTGTACAGAAGTCCCCCCCCCCAAAAAAAAAGAAGAAGAAGAAGAAGATTGCAAAATAACACCACAAGTTGAGATATATGCCAAAATGCCCCTCATACATGTGGGTAGAGCAGAATGCCCCTCCGACAAAAGAAAATATTTTGTGAAATACCCCTAACGTTCGTTTGCCCTTCCATCTGTGAAATATACCCCCATCGGGTACCGTCGAACTTTGCAAAATATAGGGGAACTTGCCAACTTTTCCAAGGCCCGATTGCCAACTTTTCCAAGGTCGATGATGATGGTCCATTGGTCTACGTGCTCTTGTCTCCTTGGTGTCGACATACTTACATTGGGAGTACTCAACGTGGTCTTTATGTGAGGTGGAGCGAGCATGTTTATCGTGGTTGTAATCAGGGGTTAATTTTGAAAGAAAAACGAAAGGAACGTTTTTTATCGATGGATGAGACAACGTGGTGTTTATCAGTATGTGGCAATTCCCCTTTCTAACTGCTCAGTTGATGATCTCCTGACAGCAGAGAAGTTTTCATTCGGTTGTTCTTGACTGATCTTAATTCAAAGGACAAAGTAAGGAAACCACGATGAAGGCGCCATGGTAAATGTGAGCAACGTTAACAGTTTAATCGTTCTCAAAGGCAACGAGTTTTTTCTTAATCGTCCAAGACTCTTTCTACTTACTGGTTGGTTATTTTTCATTCATCCGTTGGTTTAGTTTCTTCAAGTTTATTGCGCATTCTCAATCATTGTAGAGATCGGCAGTTGCATACTGTCTATATTGTCTGCCGCGACGGATCTGAATTGTTTGATAATTGGAAGGTGTTGAAACACAATTATGGATCATGGGCAAGACTAATTGTGCTCCTCTCAAGGGTGGCTGAGTAATCAGAATGTTAGTATCCTTCATTCCATTATTCCTCACTGCTTTAAGTTTGTGGCATTCAAGCCACGATTGGTTTTTCTCCTCAGTAATCCGTCCTCGAAATCTGAGTTGTGGTATTCAGATTTTTCTCGACTCGTGCTTGCCTTCTCCGTTGTTTGTTGTTTCGAGGAAAAACAAACTCGTTGGAGGCTACAGACTATTCTTTCCAGGGTCATTTCTTTCAGCTTTGGTATCCTCATTCGTCTACGATTGGTTACTCATATAGTATATGACGAATATTTTTGTAAACGTGAAATTCGACGATTGTGTGCGAGATTGGTTGACAGTCTTGACATAAACTTTGCTTGGAAATCCATGATTTTTCGAAGGATGCAAGTTGTTTGGTGTCGCAACAAGAGTGTTCCGAATGTGACCTACAATTTGCGACAGTTTGCTCACAACAGGAGTTTTTATTGTGTTTGTGAGAGCAGTGATGTTTTATTTCCTCGTGTGGATGGTCATGTTTCTTTTCGACCTAGTTCAGTGGATTTGTTTTCTTCATGCATGGAGAATTCGAAGAATATCTTACAGCCTTCTGGCGAGTTTCCAATTCTGAGTCTGAAACGACAAATTGTTAAGGCCTTCACAACATGCAATTTTCTCCCTTCGTCTATTTTTTATGGTAAGTTTATTGGAGATCTCTCTTCTTATGTCACTCGTCGATCTTTACCCGTCGAAGCCAGTTCATCCGATTTGGTTGCTATGCAAAACGGTCGATTGGTTGGGTTGGTTTGTTCGAGACCTTTCTTCTTGTGTCACACTTCCATCTTTACCCGTCGAAGCTGGCTCGTCCAATTTGGTTGCTATGCAAAACGGTCAATTGGTTGGGTTGATTTATGCACCGATAGATCACAATATTGGAGATACTTTCGTTTGTTGTTTAGTTGTCTACGACCATAACATGTGCAAGTTGTTATCAGAGAATACATTTTTCGACCGTGTGCACTATGACGAATTTGAGGCCGAAGTAGTGGATAGATGCAGAAAGACTCATTTGGATGGGGGTTTTCAACAGATTGGAAAGCGGAAACGAGAGTGTAGTTTGGGGTCTGTGTATTGCCTTCCGAAACAGAAAGATGTTACTCATTGACGTCCGATTTGTTCTTCCTTTTCTGAAGGAGGTTTTCTCAGTAGTCAAAAAATAACTCGTATTGGTAATTGTTTGAGATGGAAGTTTCCTGCACTGTCGCACTTCAATCTGCGTTGTATTTCTCATATCATTCATAGGATTGCGACGATGAATAAGGCATTGAAAAAAGAGAGATTGTTTGCTTGGCGGGTCAGTCGTAGACATGTGTAAGTTGTTTGTTGGAGAATACGTTCTTCGACCATATGCACAAATATCACGCTGAAGTATTGGATATATGCAGAAATACGTATTTGGATGAGAGGTTTCAACATATTGGAAAGTGGAAACGGGAGTGTCGTTTCGGACGTGTGTATTGCTTTCCGAAACACAAAGACGTTACTCATTGGCATCCGATTTGTCCTTCCTTTTCTGAATGAGGTTTTATCAGTAGTCGAAGAACAATTTTTGGTGTTAATTGTTTGTTGTGGAAGCTTCCTGCGTTGTTGCACTTCAATCTCCGTTGTACTTCTGATCTCATTCTTGGAATTGCGGTGTCATAGCAAACACCCTTACATGGGTGTTTGTCGTTGTTTTTAAACGTCGCACTCAGTGCGTCCTTGATCAACGAAATACGCTGATGAGGTAAAACATGTCAGGGCGCTTACCTCGACAACCTCGCTTTTGGTGAGACTCCGAGTCAAATACGACCGAATTAGAGAGTATGTGAGGCACGCATTATTGCGTTGCACTGTGAGGTGGTTGTTAGTCATCGGCAATACCAGGTCAGCGGAAAACGCGAAAGTCATAGGGTCCAACTACGTTCTCTGTAGTTTTTCTTTTTGGTTATATTTTTTTATTTCTTAAAGATACCGACTTTACTTCACAAACCGGCTTGGCCTCTGACGGATACATTGCAAAGAGGATCAAAACTTTACCTTGCGCACAGGCGAGAAGTTTATGTTGGACGACGTGTCCAAAGGCGCAGCGTTGGCAAACCTAGTATGGGAGAAAGTCGAAAGTTCGGCAAAATATGTCGAGCGTCCGACGACCAGGATACCAGAATAGCTACGATCCTAGGCGCGGCTGGCATATCGACGTCTCCTGACGGCCAGGAGGTTGACCGGTAGGCCAAGGCGGAGGCCTGATTTATGAGGCCATGACCAACCACGGCCCCACGACTATTCATTCGCAGGTTCACCCCTATCTAGCTCAGGCTTCGACCTAGTTCTAATAGTTACAGTACTGGACTTTCAAGCGACAAGTTTGGGGTTCAAGGTCAGCATGCGACAATGGAGCAAAGGAGCACGAGGAACAGGGACTGAGGGGTTGAGGGTCCTTAGCGACCATCCCCCTTGGTTTTGTCGATCGGGTCTGGGCCTGGGTCCAACTGGCGAAACCAAGAGGGTGCCGGCATTCCACCCTGTCGATAGTTCTACTAATTTTTACTTTTGGTATGTTTTTACTTGTATTTTTATTTTTATTTTTCTTCTCCTTTTAGAAGTCCCGTCTTGAACCAAGCTGGAAAACTGGGTCTAGGACCGACGACGAAAAAGTACCGCAAGGAAGGATGAAAGGAATATTGAAGGAAAGAAAAAAAACGCTTGAAATTGCTGAGCAATGAGTAAATGGAAAAAAGTCGTGTACCCACACCTGGTCGAGGGTAGACGGCGACTTGGTCGCCGCCATCATTGGCCAGGACGCTGGGTGCCTGCCAGCATGGGTTGTTGTGACCAACATTACAATGGGGAATGATTGGGACCTTCCCCTACGGGTGGCCGTCACGGCAGTCAATGACCTTGAGCATGCGCCTCTTTAGGCAAGGCCCTTCGGGTTCCTGTAGGGTCGGGGTGTTGATGAGATTCGTCTATCCTATCCGTCTTGAAGCAAGG